TGTACTCCAGCATAGTGAGGTTAGAGAGACAAAGGCCACCTCAGGGAGGGGTTTGTAGATCAGGGTAAGAATTCTGGAGTTTATTCTAGATGTAGTAGACTAGTGGACAGTCATTAAAGAGGTTTTAGCTAGGGAGTGACATGATCGGATATATGTTTATGAAAAGAAGATTCAATACTGTCAAAACAGCCATCTTATCCAAAGCAATATACAGATTCAACACAATCCCAATAAAAGTATCAATAGCATTTTTCAAAGGACTAGAGCAAACATTACTGAAATTCATATATAATCATAAAAGACTAATAGCAAAAGCAATACTGTTAAAAAAAAAGCGAAAGACAATGGTGGTGGAAGGAATATGGGGTAAATCAGGCTCTTATTTGCCTCCCACCATGAGCCTTTATGTCCATCACCTGCAACTTTGTTTTCCTCGTAGGTTTTATTACCCACACATGATAACATGCTATTGCAAAAAGTGCTTGGGAACACGAGCATGGGACAGGCACACCTGTAATTACAAACACCTGGGCCAAGAAGCTGGCAAGCACAGAGCATGCACATATATACATGTGGACACCTGGGCCGAAAAGTGAGACAGAAAAGAAGCCAGATAGAGAGTGTGTGGAATCATGGGAGCTGGGAGGCTCAGTTGCTTGCTCCCTGCTTGCCTTCCTCTTCGCCTGCTGCTCTACTTGTATCTGGTCCTCTGCTTTAGCATTAAAGGCCTGTCAAATCTACCAAGGGCTCCAAGATTCTTTTCCATCTGTACAAATCAGTAATGAAACTGCTTAGCCTGAAATGGTTGCCCTATAAGAAGTATCACATTTCTAGACCTCAACTTATATTATAAAGCCATAATAATTAAAACAGCTTGGTACTGGAACAAAAACAGACACACAGAACAGTGGAATAGAATTGAGAGCCCAGAATAAACCCACACTTGTAGGGACAGTTAATCTATGACACCGGAGTCAAGAATATACTGTGGAACAAAGAAAGCCTCTTCAATAAATAGTGTTGGGAAAACTAGACAGATGCATGCAAAAGAATAAAATTGGACCACTATCTTACACAATACACAAAAGTCAATTCAAAATGGATAAAAGACTTGGATATAAAACCTGAAACCATTGGCCTCCCCGGTGGCGCAGCGGTTGAGCACTGGGTTGCGAAGCTGCCCGCGGCCTCTGTGGCGCCGGTTCGATCCCTGGCTGCTCCCCGGCCGCCGGCGAGGGTCCCACATGGTGCGCAGACCTCTCCTGCCGCCCGCTGCTCCCCTCAGCAGTGTACTTCAGTCCTTCTGCCTGCTCTGCTCCCCACTCTGGCTCTGGTGAATTCTCTCACCCTCCCACACTTCTGACTGTACCCAGTGCATGTATAAACAAAAAAAAAAACAAACAAACCAGCAAAACAAATAAATAAAGCATGCCTCTATATAAAAAAAAAAAAAAAAAAAACCTGAAACCATAAAATACATGGAAGAAAACAGGCAAAACATTTATGACATAAGCTTTAGTGATACCTGTAGGGAATCATCCCAAACCACAAAGAAAACAAAAGACAGTATAAACATCTGGGACTACATCAAACTGAAAAGCTTCTGTACAGTGAAAGAAACCATAACTAAAATGAAAAGACACCCTATTGACTTCATTGTTCTCATACATTACCCTGTTATTATCCCTGTTACTACCCTAACCTGAAAATGTATATTTTAGAAATATGGCCACCTTAATTTTTGGGCCAATTTCACTCTTTCTCAGGTCAGTTTTTGATCTGTATCAAATATTTGTTAAGTACCTTTACCTACTAGGCAGCTAACCACATTATCTTATTTTAAAATATTTTTTAAATACTATGCAATTCTAGAGGTAGGGTTGGTGGAGATTAGGTGCATGAAGCACCTGAAAGCAATTGATAAAATTTTGTTCCCTGTAGTTTAAAATGCAGTATTAAACACTTCTTTATCACTAATGTTGTCATGTGTGATATGAGTTAACTGATGATCGTAGTTATTTTCATGTTTGGCTAGAATTATTGGGCTCTGTTGCACAAAACTGTAGATGGTGCATAGCTTTGTGGTAATCCTTTTTTATTTCAGTGGTGTTATTTTGGAACCTTTGTTTGGAAACAGTAACAAAGACTGTGAAAAGCTACAACAAACTTGACTGATATGCCTTCTGCTGCTGCTATTTCTCAGCTGAACATAGAATGATAAATTGATTGAAGTTTTTTTTTTTTTAATTCAGAATGCCTTTGAAATGCTTTTTCTGTTCTCCTTGCTTATTATTCCCTCTCTGAAGAATACTATGCCTGCTTTCATGCATCCTTCTCATTTACTTTGCCAAGATTCTATCTTACTATTTAAAGTTGAGTGGAATGTATAGAAGACATAAATGAAAAACTCCAAAAGACTATCAGGCTCTCCATAGTTGTCTGTGATTGATAGCCATGAAAAAGATGGAAGGCCAAATTCTAGTGCTTCTGTTTGATCTGGAACTATCCTTAAGTTGAAGAATTCTGACAGGATTATGTTATATTCTTGTTATCATTGTAGTTGGGCACATGATATTAAAAAACAAACATCTTTACAAAGATTGTTATAAAAACAACAGCTCTCTTCCCCTATTTTTTTTCTCTCTGGAGGCATTCACATTCAACTTTTATACATTTAGTTTCAGATACTTATCTCATTATTTCTGAACTAAATGTTGCTATGTCTTGATTTTAGACATCTAATTTTAAATATCTGTTGACTTCTCATTATGGCATATGAAGATTTTGTTCTTTCACATACATACTCATTCCCGCACACGTGCACTCTTCTCATGCCTTCAGTTTTCCATTATAGCTATAGTGTATTTACCATGTTTTCACAGTGAAAGTGCAATTAACAGGTAAGCCAGGTAGCAAACTGTGTTACTTTCAATTTTCTCTACAATTTCTAATTTTTCCTTGGAATTAATAATGCTTTTTGTTGTTGAATTCTCTGTGTGTTAGCATATTATTATTAGCTCACTCATGTATTCTCCATCTATTTTGTAAATATACATTCAGTTCATTTTTATCAAAGAAGCCTTTGAATTTGTCCAATTTTCCATATTTTTATTGTTTGTTATTATTGAGTTTTTTATACTGCTTTCATATTTTTCCCCAAAAGTTCTTTTCCATTCCTTACATGTTTCTTTTAAAAAGGGTCTGTTATTATTTCATAGTTACACTGTCCTTTAATATCACTGGGAATATTGATTATAGTCTTAATTATTCCCACTGCATGTGATAGAAAATTCATTGCCTCCTAATATCTCACAAAAGTGGAAATGGTTAGGCAGCAGGTGTAAAGGGCATATTTTTCAGGCAAGAAAGCTAGTGGACTTTTGTTAATAGTAAAACAGTCACCTAAGATTTTTGGAAGTCCATCTGTATGCTGTTGATTGAGCCTGCAGTGTTACATGAAATTATTTTAAAATCTCAGAATGCTTTTATGTCTTTTGCATAGTGCTACTTTTAGCAGGTGGGTTGTCTTAGAATGGACACAGCACAGTCCAGAGATAGTCAAAGTGAAGCATGCTGTTCTCATGGTTTATATTCAAATTTTACTAAGATTCTTGTAACTTACACAGTTTTCAGGGTTAACAAGCTAACTATTTTTAGTATTCCAAAAGAAAATAATGGTAATCAATAAGACAGTATTAGCAAGAAATAAAAACCTGGGCCCCAAATATTTTTTTAGGAGGCTCCACTTAATTGTTCTCTTCTGATAACGGAATCCAGCCAAAATCAAAGTAGGGGTATTTCTTTCCCACTCAAATCTAATTTATTCATTTATTTTCAAATTATAGAAGTGTTTTACTTTATTGATTCTACTTTGGGGGTTATATATCTCTACAAATATATACATTGTTGATTCTTTTGGGGGTTATAAATCTCCACAAATATTTATTTTATATATATATATTTTTTTCACTATGCCTTACTACCAGTATCCCAATAATCATATACCATGTTACATTGGCCCCCATTCCCCTCCATTTCCTACCTCACCAGCCTCCCCTTCTGGTTGCTCCAATTCTGCAGTTAGATGCCAAGAGTTTATTATTGGTTTAGTTTTGACTTTGTTGTGTTTCTTCATATTCTACATATAAGTGAGATCATCTGGTATTTGTGTTTCTCCTTCTAACTTACTTTACCTAGCATTATCTGCTCTGTGTAGTTCCATTCTTGCTGTCTCAAGTGGCAAGAGTTCATTCTTTAATGGAAACTTCTTTTTTTTTCTTTTAAAAAAAGATTTATTTATTTATACAAGCACTGGGTACAGTCAGAATCGCGGGAGGGTGAGAGAATTCACCAGAGTCAGAGCGGGAAGCAGAGCAGGCAGAAGGACTGAAGTACACTGCTGAGGGGAGCAGCGGGCTGCAGGAGAGGTCTGAGCGCCATGTGGGACCCTCTCCTGGAGGCCGGGGATGGAACCAGTGCTGCAGAGGCTGCGGGCGGCTTTGCAGCCCAGCGCTCAACCGCTGCGCCACCGCCACCAGGGAGGCCCTAATGGAAACTTCTTAATCCACTCATCTGTCATTGGGTACTTAGGTTGATTCCATATTTTGGCTATTGTAAATAGTGTTGCAAGGAACACAGGAGTGCATATAGCCCTTCAAATTAGTGTTTTTTAACCTATGGATAGATACATAGAAGTGGAATTGCTACATGGTAGAGAGAAATACTCAATTAAAACTAGAGAACACAGAAAAAGTGTGTTAGACAAAAAAAAAAAAACACAAAGAACTTGGGCAGCTAATAAAAACAATAATAAATATGGTAGATATTAATATAACTACATCAATAATCACCTTAAACATTGATGGTTAAATACACTAGTTACAAACAGATTTCCAGAAATGAATCAAAACAATAATCAAGTACATATTATCTAAAATTACCCACTTTAAATGTAAAGGCATATGTAGATTAAAAATAAAGGAATGGAGGTACCGCGGCGGAAGTGGGGCTACCGGGCGTGCTGGACTTGGGGTCTCTACCCAGACCGGCTCCACCATGTTCAAGGTTTCCTTTAAGATCACGCTGACGTCGGATCCGCGACTGCCCTACAAAGTGCTTAGTGCTCCTGAAAGCACACCTTTCACAGCAGTCTTAAAGTTTGCAGCAGAAGAATTTAAAGTTCCTGCAGCAACAAGTGCAATTATTACTAATAATGGAATAAGAATAAATCCTGCACAGACTGCTGGAAATGTTTTTCTAAAGCATGGTTCAGAACTACGAATTATTCCTAGAGATCGTGTTGGAAGGTGTTAAAATCTGCTACTCGGAACGTAATACTTTTCAGAATAAATATTGGTATTGTTGCTGTTGTTTTAAAATTGAAATCAGGCATTTAAAAATCCTATGAAAATACCAATTATTGATGAAGTAACGAAAAGATGACTGTCCCTTCTTGTTCACATTTCTGCATGGGAAGAGGAACTGCGTATGCATTGAGGATACCATTTCCACAGAAGATCATAATCTTTCATTGCTACCTCACAACACACAGGTAGTTCATTTGGGATAAATGGATTATCCAGCTGTGTCTTAATAACTGAAGGATGCATCTGATGATTCTTAGAGAAAATATTTGGAAAATTAAAATTGAGTGAAATCTTCCTCTTTGTCTTTGAGTTAAAAATTGTAAAGGATTATGGATCATGCAGGTCAGTTTGCTTGATAACATCTGACTTGCAGACTTAAATAGTCAAATTTTTGACTACATTTAATTCATGATAAATTCATGATGTAGACATCCGTGGATGCTTAACTACACTTTTTATCATTTAGGTTTTTAAGTTTCAAATTTCATATATTCATACAAATTTAATGTCAGATAAAAAAATTCTATAGCCCTTATGTGTAAAATTGATATCCTACACTACAGTGTTTTAACTGATTTGCAGAACCCAATACTTGTAATGGTGAGAATTGAAAATAAACTAGAAGCATCCTTTGCTGAAAAAAAAAAATAAAGGAATGGAGAAACATATAATGTGCGAACACAAATGGAGTAGCTTATTAATATCAGACAAAGTGCACTTCAGAACAAGGAAATTATTAGGGAGAAGGAGGGACATTACATAATGCTAAAAGGTCAACTCTCTACGACAACACAATTCTTAATAGGTATGCACCTAACAACAGAGCATTTAGATATGTGAGGCAAACACTTACAGAACTTCAAGGAGAGTTGGATGACTCCATTATTATAGCTGTAGACTTCAACATCTTTTTATCCATAATTAATAGATCCAGCAGGCAGAAAATCAATAAGGATATAGTTGAGCCAAACAGCAACAACAATTAACTGTATCTAATTAGTATCTATAGAATATAGTTATTCAACAACAGCAGAATGTGCATTCTACTCCACTTTATACAGAAATTCAAAAGCATCTTCTCTTACAACAGTATTTCAAGTTATGATATCATTAGTGTTGTTTTTCTCCATAGTTATGATAAATTTAATGAAGGACATATTAAAGCATCTTGGCAATTTCTGTAGGTTATAGGGCTCAGACTTTAAAAATGTGGAGGTGTAACTTGATGCTCTGTCACCTCTTTAAGAGTTCCCCAGTGGCGCAGCGGTTGAGCGCTGGGTTGCGAAGCTGGCCGCAGCCTCTGCAGCGCCGGTTTGATTCCCGGCTGCTCCCCGGCCACTGGAGGAGGGTCCCACATGGCGCGCAGACCTCTCCTGCCGCCCGCTGCTCCCCTCAGCAGTGTACTTCGGTCCTTCTGCCTGCTCTGCTCCCCACTCTGGCTCTGGTGAATTCTCTCACCCTCCCGCGCTTCTGACTGTACCCAGTGCTTGTACAAATAAATAAATAAATCTTTAAAAAAAAAAAAAAAAAAAAAGAGTTCCCCGCCTTGTGATTAGGAGAGAGCCATCTTCTTTTACTAGCATTGATATGAAAAGATGGACTGTCCTTGTTGGTATAAGATGCTATATTATATGCCACAAAAATTTGAAATATCCTGAATTTCTGCAGCAAAGAATTAATTTGTCATGAGCTTGTCAAACAACACCATAATTTGAGGTAGAAAAAGTTATTTTCTGGAAATCTTCACTCTTGTGTATTGATGACATTTTCCTGCTTTTATAGTCATATTGAGTTCCCTAAATCTAATAGACGCTTTTATTATGGCCTTATATTGTAGAAAGTATTTATGTACTATTACCATCTAAATTTTATGCCAATTATGCTACAAATAGAGTTGCTATCTATAAACAGGTAACAATTTTTTTTGACATTTGCAGTTAGCTATGTTACTATGTTTTATTACACTCTTATTACATATAAAACTCATGTTTTATTACACTTTAAAATACTGTTTTAGATAAAAAAAGTAAATTTTAACAAAAAAGTATTTAATTTGCGAAAGATCCAAGTATCAATGTTAGAATTTTCAAATCTGAAACAGACATTATTAATACATTTCATAATTAATACAGTATGAGAGAGGAAATAAGCTTTGTATTCCTTCTTGTCAGTTTCTTTGTATGCACAGTGTTGAGATTTTTAATACTCCAGATCCCGAAGTTTTAGCACATTAGCACTATATATTTTTCTTTCTCCGTTAACATTTCAGAGACTTAGTTTCATATTGGTGAGATAGCTCTTCTCTATGACGTCATTTGAAACCTAAGTCAAAAGCACAATATTTGAGAATTATGCAATCTGAAAAATATTAAGTATTTGATTTCAAAAGTTTTATGCAATTGAATATGGTCATTTCTAGTGTATAATAAGAAAATTGTTTAAATGGATCTTGACTTGGTGTCCTAAATCTTTTGCCTCTATGCTGAACCTGTGTTTTGAGGATCTTTTAAAAAATGTATATATTTTTTCAGTACTGGATTAAATTTTAACAAATTGCTGATCTCACTTATGGCAATGGAATTTGAAGACAGAGTAGTTACAAAGAATTTTCCCCATAAGGCAACCAAAATCTAATTTGTCATCGGTGGTGTCTCCAGTAGTATATCTCAACTACTACCTTGATTGTGTTACTTCCCAGTTTCAATGTGTCCTTAGTACACAAAAGATAAAGTTAAACTTTGAAGACCCTGCAAAGTTAGTCCTAATCTGCACTCCAACCTCCTTTCCTGTCCTTTTCTCTCTGTATCTCCCTTATTCTCTCAGACTTTAGCTATACTCATCTTGCCATTCCCATGTCATATTGTGCCTATCTGTAGCCAGACATGCAATTCCTTCTGCCAGGAATATCCATTCTTTTCATTGACACAAGAATAACTCATTCATTTTTCAAGGCCCAGTTGGCACATTATTTCTTCTGTAAAGCCTTATCTTACTTCAAATAGCACAGATAAGTTATTCCTCCTTCATTAGTTATGGTATACCAGGCTGCACTAACAAATAGATCCTCAAATTTTATCACATTAGCACTATACAATATATTTTTGTTTATCTGTTAACTGCTGTGAGAGTATTTACATCTAAGTGAGATAGGTCTTTCTATGAAGTCATTGGAGACCTAAGCTGAGAAGGCACTCCAGTCTTCAACACATGACTTTCACGTTGCCCTAAATGTCAGTAGCCAAAATGGGGGAAAAAAAGAGCTTGGAAAAATATACACAGGATTTCAGGACTTATATCTGAAAATGGGGTATGTGCCTTCTGTTCAGCATTTCACTGGAGACAAGTTTTTCACTTGGCCATCCCTAACTACATTAGATTCTAGATTGTGGTCTAGGTATATGACCAAAAAAGCAGGAAACATTTGGGTGGAGAGCTGTGATTTCTACTATATACTCCTTTTGGGTTCTCATAACACTATTTAAGCACAGTTCCTGTTATAAGCAATTACCTTTTTTTTCTTTTATTATTATTTTTTATTTTTATTTTTAAAATAAATTTTATTTTTATATTCCCCATACAATTGCAACCCCCTCATTTTGACCCCAATCTCTCCCCTCCCCGCCCCCCACCCCCCCAGAGAGTGTCTCTGGTTCATAGGTTTTTGTTGATTTTGATTTTCACTTTCTTATAGTTATTGATTTTCCTGGTCCCTTATTTAAGTTTTCTAGATTCCTGCTATGAGTGAGACCATCTGGTATTTTTCTTTTTCTTTCTGGCTTATTTTGCTGAGCATGATCCCTTCCAGCTCCATCCATGTTGCTGCTAATTGCATGTGTTTATCTTTTTTGAATGCTGAGTAATATTCCATGGTGTATATGTACCACATCTTCTTGATCCAGTCATCTATTTTTGGGCATTTGGGTTGTTTCCAAAGCTTGGCTATTGTAAATAGTGCTGCTATAAACATAGGGGTGCAGGTGCTCTTTGGAATTGATGTTTCTGTGTCCTTTGGGTAAATACCTAGGAGTGGAATTGCTGGATCATATGGAAGCTCTATGTTTAGTAGGTCAAGAAGTCTCCACATAACTCTCCATAGTGGTTGGACCAATTTGCACTCTCACCAACAGTGCAGGAGAGTTCCTTTTTCTCCACACCCTCGCCAACATTTGTTGTTGCTAGTTTTTTTAATATGTGCCATTCTCACTGGTGTAAGATGGTATCTCATGGTAGTTTTGATTTTCATTTCCCTGATTACAAGTGATGTTGAACATTTTTTCATATGCCTGTTGGCCATTTGCATTTCCTCTTCAGAGAAGTTTCTTTTTAGCTCTTCTGCCCATTTTTTGACAGGATTATTTTGTTTTTGTTGAGTCTCATCAGCTCTTTGAAGATTTTTGTGATCAGTCCTTTATCATTAGTGTTGTGTGCAAAATGTTCTCCCAATCGGTGGGGTTTCTCTTTGTTTTTGTTATTGTCTCTTTTGCTGTGTCTTATACACATCAGAAGCTCTTTAATTTGATGTAGTCCCAGCTGTTTATCTTTGTCTTCACTGTCACTGCTCTGGGTGATGTGTCTGTAAAGATGTCATTGATGTGCATATCACGTTGTGTTTGGCCTATATTTCCTTCTACGTATTTTATGGTTGCAATTACCTTTTTATATGTTCCTCTCTATCCGTTTTCTAGTTCTAAACTGTGAGTTCTTTTTTTTTTTTTTTAAGAGCTGGGGTACAGGACAGAGATGTGGGGGATGAGTGGACTCACCAGAGACAGATTGGGGAGTGGAACAGGCACATCTACTGAAATACACTGCTGAGGGGAGCAGCAGGCAAGTCAGGAGAGGTCTGCTGCACCATGTGTGCTGCTCCCTGGCAGTCCGGGGAGTCGAACCCGTGCTGCAGAAGCTGTGGTTTGCTTCATAGTGCGGTGCTTAACTCCTTGCACCACCAGGGAGGCCCCTAAACTGTGAGTTCTTGAGAACAGGAACTTCTGTTAGTATTTGTAATTCATTCCTTTAATAAATGCTTATTGTATCCTTTGTATGCCAGTATCTCAGTA